GCTAATCTTTCCCTCTCCTCTTCCTCTTGTCGCCTCCTCTCTTCCTGGGCTCTTTCTTCCTCCTCCCTCCTAACCCCATCCTCCTTTCTAACCCTCTCTTCTTCTCTCCTTTTTTCTTCCTCTAGTCTCTTCTCCTCTGCCAACCTCTCAAGCTCTTCTTCCTGCTTCCTAACCCTTTGTTCTTCCTCTTGTTCCCTACTCCTCTCTTTCTCCATCTTAATCCTTTCTTCTTCTCTTTGTTCCTCTACATCCTCCTCCATGTGTTCTACTTCCTCCTCTTCCTCCTCTGCCCATGGTGAATACTGCCTCACGGCTCTCAGTGAATCCACAGATGGTGGAGAGTTGTCGAGGACATCCTCCATGGAGCCGTTTCCTGAGCTGGTCAGACTGAAGTTGGATCCAATGCGAGAGGACCGGGGGGGCGGCTCTTCACGGTAAACATGGCTGCCATTGATGCAGAGGTTACTCTGTTCTGCAGCAGCTTGTTTCTGATGACCAGAGTCTTTGCTGTCTGAGCTGCCTGAGCGCTTGTGTATCATGAACTTGAACTTCTTTTTACCTGGAAGGAGGTGAAAAGTTAACAGAGAACATAAATTAACACTAGAACCGCCAAGAGGGTCATTTTAACCCCCCTGCGTTTTCAAATACATGTAACCCTGTTCAAATAAAACCCACGACAGAACTTATGAAGTTTCTACACATGGAGAAAATAAAGTGTACTTTGGGTGGCTTTTTTAACGTACATGGAAAGTTTGAAACGCTTCCCTAACCGATTTATCATTTTTTATTTATTTTTTTAGACTGAATTAAAAACACAGAGTTAACACCTGTCACCTGTCAACCATCACTAACATTTATCTCGACCTTGTTATGCGATTTTGTTGTTGATTTGTTTTAGTTTTTTGTGCTGTGATTTCAACCATTTGTTTGTCTTTAATGTTAAATGTGTTATTTAATCTTGTCTTATTCTGTATGGGGGGGGGAATAAAGTTCATGACATTCATGACTTTTCCTAAAAATATATTTATCATCTATAGGTACATTTTGGGGGATGTGGGATGAAGAGAAAAGAAAATATACTGTAATATTTATTTTTAGAACTGCCAAAGGTTATACAATTTGAATAATGTAGTTAATCTACAATAACTATAGTTTAAATGTATTTAGTATGTTGTTATTTGTAGAAGCCCACCATTTATTGTAAAATGTATCTGCTATTATATAAATTGAAGCAATTTCTAAATCGACCACATTAATGGAGTTTAAATAAATGTTTTGTTGTGTTATATGAAATGATGAAAATTAACAAACTAAATGATAAAAAAATGACATCGCTGAGCACTGACGCCGTTGCGATAAGGGGTCAAAATGACCCTGCTTGGCAGTTCTAAGGGTAATGAATATTGGCGGTTCTATTGGTATACAAAGGTGATGGAGTAAATAAAGAAAAACTGTTGCTCCTCACCTTCAGAGGAATCCACGTTCAGCCCAGACGACTGGCTACCGCTCAGCGAGGAGTTCTTGGCGGGCAGAATAGACATGGACTGAGACATGTTCCTCTGCAGGTTGGACTTGGTAGAAAACAAAGACTTAATCTTGTGTTTCTTCTTTTTATCGTCCTTTCCCGCTGTCCCCTCACCTTTCCCCTCCTCCTCGCTGTCGGTCAGGACTTGACTGAAGGACGGCAGCATGTTAGACGCAGCGTCAGATTCCTTTTTCTTGCTGCGTACTTTGTCCTTGAACTTGCCCAGACGAGATTTGGATTTGCCGGCAGCGGAGATGTCGAACATGCTGGCCGTCATGTTGTTCCTCGTGAACTGGATGTCCACCAGAACCTCTCCTCTGTCTTTATCTGCCTTACCAGTTTTGTCCAGCAACTTGAACCATCTGTGTAAGAGAGGACACAGTTTTTAAATTGTAATGCTTTTTAACCACAAAATGTCAAATGTTTTAAATTGGGCAACCTAATTTAAAAAGTGAAAGAAAACTATTCTATGTTATATTCTGGATGTTCTTATCTTCGTCTTTGAGGTTAAACACATTCTAATAGTTGGGAAAAACTGTTTTAGGCTACCTGGTGCAGAGGAGATAAGCCCAGTATTCACTCTACATCACATAATTACATATTAAGCGGCTAACAATAAGCGCAATAAACCATAAAGATCCAAACTAAAACTGCTGACATATTTCTTCAAACAAGAAAATATCACTGTAAGTGATTGTACTGTAAGTAACACTCTTTAGTGCTTTTTTGAGTTGTTGTGATTATTCGGCATAAGCGAAACAGGTGGCGCTTCAGTTTGCGATGACAGATATGTAGATTCTCCGCTGTCCTGGTATCAGTGGGAGGCTTATTCCACCATTTGGGAGCCAGGATAGCGAAAGGGCTTTTTTGTTTGTTGAGGTGTAGGCCTACCTGATTCCACTTCGTAGTGAGAGACTAGCAAGCCGATTGGCAGATGCAGAGCGAAGTGCACATGCTGGAGTATGGTTTGACCATGTCTTAGATGTAGGATTGACCAGATCCCTTTACAGCATGGTAGGCCAGTACAAGTGTCTGAAAGCTCATTCTGGCAGCCGGTGAGGGGAGCGAAGGGGAGGTGTATTGTGGGAGAACTTGGGGAGGTTGCCGCTTTTTGAATTAGCTGTAGAGGTTGGTTGAATTTGCAAGTAGACCAGCCAGGAGGGAGTTATAGTAGTCATTTTAGATTTATTTTCTACTTACTACAAAAGTATGAAAGCTTAGTGTCATTTAGCTGAACAAACAACCTAGACTCTCTGTAAAACTTTCAAAATCTAAATGTGCATTAACATTCACTTTACAAACGTAATGCTTCAAAAACAACTGCAATAACAAGATGCCACGGAGGAAACATTTTTTGTTGGAGCATTCTTTGCACACAGGCTGTTATTCACCATAATGTAATCTGAATGGATATATTTTTCGTCCTTGCAGCTTCTTTGTGGAAACTTTGATCAATCCAGTAGCAAACTGAGAGTGACTCAGCAGTGACTAATGTTTTCGCAAGGTCTGTGAGGCAAACTGACCAAATCATAATAATGTTCCGCCTCTGGCATCCATTCGTGGGGGGAGGTAATGAATGCTTTTATTGTGTTTACTATTTTTGCACCAATAGGCAACCTTTATAAACTTTTTCCGCCAAAGTCTCACAGAAGCAAATCATAATAAGTATTACTTTAGGATCAGACTGATAATAAAGGGTGAATGTATTACTTAGCAGGATCTCCGATTGTTACACTCTATGCCTTGAAGATATGCGTAATAATCGACCTTCTGCATTTTCCGCACTTTTTCAGACATCTAACCCTGAAGACAATCAGTAGACCAGTCGGCTCCTTATAAGAGGGAGTTTTTATCCAACAAGCTTAATCTCCACTCCTCAAAAAGCTAAAACTATTCAGGGTTCCTCTGGAAAAATCTACTACAAACCTCATAACCACCTTTGCAATGCCCAACACATTTTGATGTAGCTTGACAATAAAATACCATTCAAGGAACCCAACAGAAACATACATTTGAAGCTCAAAATAGCAACTCAAAATGTAATTATTGTAATAACATGAAGAAAAAAAAAACTGAGTAATCTTCCAGTGAGACCAGGTTGAGTCAACTTCTGTGTCACGGTCCAAAGGGGTCTCAGAAAAAGCAGAATACTTTAAAAGAACACGGAAAGGAGCAGTCAGCATAAAAAGTGCCAATCAGGCAGAAATCTGAGGTCAGCTCACCGCTGAACAAACAACTCCAACTGAAATCTGGATTCCTGGGGAAATGAGGAAATGAGGAAGGGGGCCGTGGGTGCAATCGGTGTGTGTGTGTGTGTGTGTGTATAGCATTCTTTTGTGAGGCTTCATAACTGTCCTTCCTTGCTATGTCAAGCAAAAAAGGAAGTTACTTGAATCAGAAAAAGCATTAAATAACATTGTGTACGTCTTAAAGTTGAATTTCTTTATATGTGGCATAAACTGTAACCACCCCCCCTCCCCCTCATTACATAACATCCCTCCCTGTGTCTTCCTCTCGCTGGTACTGAATGAGATATAATGTTTTGATTCACACTCCTCCTCCTCCTCCTCCCCCTCCTCCATTGCTTCATTGTTGCACAAACATAAGGAGGGAAATGTGTTTTCCTGGAAGTTGTTAAATGGGTGAGACTGCTGTCACAGCACCTCCGCCTCCTCCTGTTGATGAGTAATAGAGCTTGACATTATACATATAGAAACCCTCCATTGGCTGATGTGCATCCTTCAGATAGGATGCACTAGATAAATATTGCATGTTTTTATCATTCAAATGTGGACAGGGTTTGTTGTCATCTCATACACGTTAATATATTTATGTGGTAGAAGGTTATGAAAAATAATATTTCATCCAAGGCATCCAAACATCCTTTTGAATAGGTTAGTTGTCAAAGAAGAACAGTTATACAATAAAGCCAATATGGCTTCAAAACAAACATTATAAAAGGATGTATGATGCTTCACAGCAATGTGTACTGGAAGAGCTGGCAGTCAATGTTATTTTTGATAGAGCTTCAGACAAATGAAGATAAATAAATGAGGACTTTAAAACTGCATTAAATCACAAGATAATTTGAAAAAACAACAAAAGAAACCAACAGAAAATGCTGACTGGTGTGGATAAAACACTGAGTAGAATTGGGTGATTATTGTCACTGGATTATTGATTACAAACAAAGTTAGTGACCTGGAAAAAATATTGATTATAGCCTAAAGGACTTTGCTGAAAAGTTGAGTTTCAAAGCTTTTTCTTGACCCTGGTATCTGATCTGAAGCTATTTAAAATAGCCATGAATTAAACTAAGCTGATATTTCACCCACATTTTAGCTTCACATCAGGTAACACCTTAATCCCCTTATATCCATATCAAGAGCTCATACATTTTTTTATTATCTACAAATCCATGTCACATGTAAAAACTCCAGCTCTTTCAAACTCACACTTGAATCTTCAAAGTGTCATAGAGAGCTGAGAGGAGTCTGGTAAAGTTTTTAAATGAGCAACCCCTTTTACAAGAGTCATGTAATCCATTGTTAATTAAAATATTGATTATAGTGCATTCTCGTCATTTCACCCCACAAACGAGCCTCTCTTGTATCGATAATTCTGGATAACCGGTAATTAGAAAACAAACAACTGTGTGCGATTTAATAGTATAACACATAGTATTTGTAAACCTGTATCAGAGAAAAGGGATGAACCTTTTGAAAAATATAAAATAGTAGTTTGTTTGCATAAGTTTTCCTTTTTTATAAAAAAATACAATAAAATTATCATGGTTGGATTTTTTCCGTAAGAATCCAACACAAAGAGTTTTTCCTAAACCTTTATAGAATTGGATTTGTAGGCGTTGCAATCTTTGCTGCACCACAATACTTAATGTAATACTGAATTGCATTTTGATAAACTATTTAGATATAAGTTATTATTGTGCCTAGTATAGCACAATATCAATGTATTGTACAAGTACAGTAGAGGGCAAAATTATAAGTATAAACATAGTATATGATTTATGCAAGTAACGATATATAGCAAAGCACAATGTATGGTATAAGCATATATCAATTGTGTATCATACTTTCAATGAACTACGACAGCCTGTAGCATACTAAACTATTCTAACACAACAGTAAGAAGTCCTACAGTTATTACACTTTAACGTGAGGTGTGTTTACAACCCTGACCTTTGAACAACTACTGCTGCTGCTGCTGCTTTAGCCGGCACATGCCACACACAAATACATCCCTTTAGGAAATAATAAAGAGAAGAAGTAGCTAGTTCAGTTTAAACAAAAGGGAAGTTGCAAAAGTGTTGGGGCGTTAACTGGCTGGGGTAGTAAGTGTGTGCAGGGGAAGGAATAAAACTGTGAAAGTGTCTTCACTTAACAGTGCCTGGAGGATGAAGAAGATAACGCCTCTAAACTCAGAGATCTGTCCGTGAACCCTGTGAAGAGAAGAAAGTGTTCTTCTCTGCTGTACAGACACAAACACGAGGATAACTCATGACTAAACATTTTGTAAAATGTATTCTAGTTTCTGCACACACACATCCTTCCTTGTGAAGCTGCTGATAAGACAATGTGTGGCTCAGGCCTTATCACTGGGCACAGCTGTGTGAGTGGGAGGAGAGCTGAGTGAGTAAAACAACTCGGGAGTGATAATGTTCAAGGACCAAAACTGTCCAGGGCTTATTGTTGGCAGTTGACGTTCATTACTGCTCATGTTTTGTACAGCGTACAGGTGCCCGAGTGAAGTCAGTGAACCAAAATGAAGGACTGTGCAAAGAAACTTGCAAATATTCCAAAATCCATCTGTACACATCCAAGAGAAAGCCAGGAAAGATGGACTGTTAAGCAGCAAAATGCTGTACACACTCTGAGACATGCATACTACAGATTCTTACACCAATTCTTCAATAAGGAGTCTCAATTTACTGTGTTTTTAACAACTTCCATGCTTCACAGCGCATTTGCTCTCAGGCCTGACAGAAGATTGTTGTATTAGAAGCAAAACTATACACTTAGTTAATTCTAGAAGATCATTTAAGATGTCAGAATAAGAAAGGCACAAACAAAAAAACTTTAAACAAAAAAACAATACATACTTCTACTACTCCCTGAAGTTATTTCAAGACATTTGCTCATGTCCTTCTTGACTGTCAAAATGTTTCTGAAGACTTTTGAGTCACATCTGTAGTGCCTTCTTTAAGAAAGCAACACATGAAACTTGGTGGAAAAACAGCTTTGGCTAAATTCCGCACACACCATGTACCTTAAACAGTGGCGCTGTTGTGCAGGCAGCTTATGTTTGTCAGTCTGAGGTCAGCAGTACAGACACAGAGGTGTTGCTCAGAAAAACTGACCTCGCTAGAATGTGTCTGTTGCCATCACTGTTTGCTTTTCATAGATAAAAACAGTCAGGAATGCGAGGCTGAAGCTGGATTTAAACCTCTGAGTCAAGGTGCACTCACACAGCTCACAGAAGGCTACTGAAAGATCAACAGAAAACATGTTGAGCATTTACACAACACCAGCTAAAACATGATTTCCTGAGAAAACTATATTTGATTATTTGACTGACACAGTGCCAAATAGAGCAAATGTGATGTACACACTACAAAACCATGCACGATTAAGCATGCATCGTACAGCCAGGTGAGGTTCAGCTGAGGAGTTGGACACAAGCCAGGCCGAAAGCAGAACGATATGCAAAGGGCCTTGTGTGACCAAAAGCATTTAAAAATCACAGCTCACTACATGCTCTCAGTTCTGATTTAACTATGGATATTTTTTTTCTGTTCTATAAAAGGTTTATGAAAAAGGTTGTTTGTCATAATGATTGGACAGGAAATCGATATTGTTTTATGCTGTACAAAACATGAGCAGTGATGAACGTCAACTGCCACATTACAATTCATCCAATGACCCAATACATCAAACAGAGCTGACAGACCTCAATAACAAACAACCCTGGAGACTGTGTGTGTGTGAGGTTGTGTGTGTGTAGGATTTTATATAATACTGGTCACACGGCGGGGGACTAACATTCTCAGAAACAGCTTAGGGCAACAAAACATTTCCCACTCGTACTAAACTAAAGACATGGCTGAAAGCATTTCTAATTTCATCAAGGATACCTTGAATTGAAACGTTAAATGTTTTCTTTGAGAGACTGAAGAGCCTATTGTTTACAACGTCATGCTTTGAAGAGCATGCAGGTAACCATTAGTGAGTCCTTACAATATCAGCAGCGAGGCCTGTAAACACTGGGTGGCTAATTGCTTCATGTTCCTCGCTCCGTGTGAATGCAGCGTTATGAAAATGTGAAAGCTTGATGTTTTTAACTTAGCAATTACAGAAACGTGCTTCATTGGGCAAAGTGGGGTGGAGTCTGGGTCTTCTTTTAAAGTTCAGTCAATGAAAGAGTGAATCCTCTGACTTGAATCTTTCGTCTGAGTAAGTAATGCTGATTGGCATCCATGAAGGCTGCTGCCGAGTGCCGAGGTAACAAATCCCTTAAGCTGCACCGGAGCGAGTAAGGAACATTCATGAATCAAAGGCACCAAAGTGGGCTTGTGTAGTGATGCACACACACACACACACACGCGCGCGCGCGTGTGTGTGTGTGTGTGTGATACCTCAGTGGAAATACATATAAATATCTCAGAGGGAACTCACTTCCAAAGAGTCTTAATACATGCACAAATTAAGTCAAATATATGCATATGGCAACCCTAATCTACAGTTTTCACAGATGCTGAATAATTAATTTGTTAGATTATAGAAACCTTGGTTTGTAATTATTAAAGGATTTAATAAGGATTATGAATTTTTGTCCTTCAAGAACACAAAGCTGATATGACTGACAGAACCGACATCCAGGGGGTGTCCCCATGTGGGCAGCTTAAAATCAAAGTCTTCATTTAACCCCCCATGATTTCCCACATTTACATGCAGCAAAAAAAAGTAACATATGCCCAAAAAAAGTCTTGTCTTTATATGTAGTAGATTGGGAATGGCTTTTTAATGTTTGAAAAAAACTTCTACATTATGATTTATTTTGAAAAGTTTTGGGCACACTATGGCAGAAGTTGTCACTCCACAACAAAACACCCAACTGTCATGTGTGTAAGTGCTAGGTATGTTGTTTGAATAAATGTGGATGTATCAGGTGTCTGTTATTGTGTATGTGTAGTGTACAGTAGACTGCATTTATGAAAGGATTTGCAAACTGTGGAAACACATTTCTTGAAAAGGACAACAAAAAACTATTTTAACCACCAGGTTATTCCGCCAGGGGACAGGTCAGTGATACCTCCTTAAAATGAGTTAATGATATTTGTTCAGAGGACTTTTGACAAGTTGATTGACAGAAAATGTTTCTGCAACTGGTTCCAGTTTCTTTAATTTAGATTTCTGGTTTTCTAAACTTTCAAATAAGGGCATTTTTGGTCTGTCTGACATCTTGGGAGGGGAACTTTGACAATTATTCTACATGAATCATAAAATAACAACTAAAAAGTAAAACAATAGTTGGTTTCAGAACCAGGCTTTGTCAATCAGGCATCAGTTCATTTATATTTCCATATTATATACCTATTAAATAATGACCCTGTAACTCCCTGCAGTGTGTGCACTCACTCGGTCTTGCTGCGGGTCTTGTCCTCGCTGAGCTCCAGCAGGTTGATGACCGCCTGTCCCAGCAGTTTGTCCGGCCCCACCAGGGCCCGGTGCAGGACGTGGACATGCAGCGTGCCGCGCTCCGGTCCTCCTCGGCCGGGCGGCAGAAGGTCGAAGGCCGCCTCCTCCTTCCACACCGGGGCAACGCTCTTCTCCACCACCGAGGTTTGGAACTTCTCCTTGCCCACTTGCATGATAGCGTACGCATCGTTGGTGCCGTGTTTCCCCTTTATCCGGAGGCCTCTGGATTGGAGTACCGTTACCTGGACGCTTGTGGGATACCACTGCAGATCCGCCAGAGACATGCTGAGAACTGGATCGCACAGAATTTAACTCCAAGACGCAGTGAAGTCTCTCATGGGTTCACTGTGAGACTGCACTGAAGCGACTGGAGAAAAAGTTTTTTCCCGTGAGCTCCGGTGATTTTGAGGAAACAGCTGATAGGGCGTGGTTACACCGAGAGGGGTCCTTGGTGGAGACGAGACACTCCTCCAGATTAGCAGATTACATGCAAATCTGCGTGGCACATTCACTCCACAACAATGTTTTACAACAGGCCACACATGATGCTTGTTTACAGCTGACAGAGAGCATCAGCTGTATTCAAATGACTGACTGATACGGGTGACAGTGTTTCATCTGCATACTTCATTGGATGGATTATTCTGGTCATCACATTTAAACACATTCTAGTGTATTCTTTAATCATTTACTGTCAATTGCATTGTTTTCTCCTGCTTTAACATCTTTATTATCCACTGTAAATCTAAAAACATGAGACCTGTGATCCAATTGTGGAGATAGCCTATAGGCCAGGATACCTGACAAGCCTGACAGCTGATAGGTTGTATTCAGTTTCACAAGCAGCTCCAGTTTGAATCTTAATCAGGCTGCAGTGCCAGTGTCTGCATGGATTTCAGATTCAGGACTGAATGCCTTGATACATGTGGAATGTGTTTGTTATTCCTTCTGTTTTAGTGGATGAATAGACTGGCTTTTTAAGAGTTATTCCCCTGCATTCAACTCACCCTCATTCCCATGAGTTTGATTAGATGTTTTGGGGAATCTATGTATTCAAGACAGCTGCATCTTTATTTTTCATGCCACAATATGTGATACGGTTTATGTCTAACAAACACTGACTCCTACTGTTGTAAAGAGAGCAAATTAACACATTGCATCAATGTAAATCTTGAATCCTTCATAGACTATTCTAACAACCACAGACAAACACATTTGATATTTGGTTTACATGGTGTGTCAGGCCTGAAAATGTTTGGTCTCACTTTCACCTCTCCCTTGTTTTTAAGATTAAGGGCGAAGACACTTATAGAGCCTTGAGCCAATTAGCAAGGTGACTCAGGAATGTTGGCACGGCCCCTGTCTGGCTGTGATGTGATGACTGTAGTACTAGAAACTCAACATTTTTAAACTTTCTTTTAGATATGAATGTGTTTTAATCAGATATACAACAAGCTCACAGTAAAATGAAGCTCACTATTGGATTTTGGTCTATGATCAATCTGTTTTAAAACAAAGACAAACTGACCTTTAAGCTTTTGCATGTCTTTCAAAGCTTGAGCTTTCTGTACTGTAAGTGTAACTATTCTCCTAGCTTTAATCATACAAACAATGGAAATAAATAGACATTTTACACATAAATATGAAAAAGAAAAATATTTTCCTTCAGGCTGGTAAAAATAACAGTCACAATACTGACATATATTAATAGACATTTCTACTTCTTATAATTCACATCCACCATCACGTTATAAGATGTAAGACTCTTTATTTATAATGGCCTATATTCTCTGTGTCCTCATTGTTCTTTTGTTGGATCTTGATTTCTTTCATCCTCTTCTGGATTTTCATCCTCTAAATGTTTGTTGTCACCTAGGTCCCCCTCGTCCTGCTCACCTAGAAGAACTTTACTGTAAAGGTTCTGCTGCTCTTCTTTAAAAGCATCTTTCACTTTTGCTCGTTTCAGCCCTCCATCCCTGAAAAGACACAGATAAGAAAAGAAAATCACACACAGACTCAACACAGTGTCATCAGTGTCTTCCATGTAATACTCAAACGTTTCTGTTAAAGCTAAAAACGAAATACAATCCAACATACTGCTAATCTCAATTAACTAAGTAAAAAAAGAATGGACATAAATGCAACGGTCATGAATGATAACATTCAAAAAACTGCATTTCTTTTGCTACTTTTGTATTTATTATTTTCACTACATTTGGATGGAAACTTAGCTATTGACTCACCAAATTAGATCCACTAATCCTCCTTGTTCAGCTATGGCAGCTTTCACTCTGTTTGCAAACTGCACCGCATCCTCCCCTTCCTACACAGGAAAACACAAATCAACAGGCTAAAGAAAGGAGGGTAAAGTATTCCAGTCAATGGAATAAACAATAGATCATCGGAAATATCTATCACTGAAGTTTAATCTTTCAAAGTCTTCATTGTCATCTGCACAATATCTAAAGCCTAGCTGTTGGCCCAGGCTCCTCCCACAATGCAATATAGTTACAAAGAGACAAGCAGCCTAAAAGAAAGAAAGACAATGGTGCAAAGGACTTTATGGTGCATTCAGGAATTAGCCGGCAAAAGTAAACTGTATACAGATAAAGTCAAGTGAGAAAATGAAATACAGTACATTTTTGATAAAGTCCTGTATATTGTTATTGGGACAAAGAGCTTCACCTCTCTGTTCATGGGCGGCAGGTACCAAACGCTGCAGACAACGGCCCAGCTGCTCATCATCCTCAGCAGATAATACACCATGCCAAACTTACTGCTGTTCCAGAAAGCATCCCCAAACCGAGGATCATACTGCAAGAGGAAAATAAAGTTACATAGAATGTCAAAATGTGTAGAAAGGAGGTAAAAGACCAAAAGAGTTCCTACCTTTATAGCAACTGGATAGACCGTGCAGGCAATTTCAAAGCTGCCCTTCTTGAACATCATCACTGATGTGTTGTTGATGCAAGTACCTGCAGCAGACATAGCGTGAAGACTTTATTGACACAAAACAACACAATGCTATGGGCTTTACACGTATGTATATATATATATATATATATATATATATATATATA